CTATTGTGTGTAATAGGGAGAAGCTAGAAATGAGTTTAATACCGAAAATGAAAGATTTCAAGAATTCCCTGATGTCATGTATTAGGAAGTGAACTTTTCCTGAGACGATGTAATCAAGAAGAATTGGGTCACCAGTGACATCGTTAGTCAAAGTCACATGGGTTTCTAATTGAATTTTGGGGTAAATATAGCTTGAAAAAAGTGGTAGAGATATTATTCCATAACCCATGTACAATGTATGTAGGTCAAATATGAGACTAATAAAATGAGCTCATGAAAAGGATGAAGAAACGCATGCATGAAGGCGACTTTGAAGTTGTTTAAATTGCACCTACAGAAGTGTGCATGTGCAGGGTAAAGGTTCATATATCTTCTAGAAAAGTAGAAATGATTATAATTGAAGTCCTTAAAACATTAAAAGCAAAAAGACAACAAAAAAGAGCCCCTAATTAACCCATTTGCCCAATATCCCCAGACCAGTACAACCAACCCATAAGCCAGGTAAATCATTGTAATTGGAAATTGCTGATTGGACCAGTACAAAATCAGTCGCAGAATCTCAAAGTACATGCAATTAAAACCCAATATAAACTTGGTGCAATAGAAATGAATGAATGAAATAAATCCTCATCAATCACCTAACAGGCAAACGTACTCAGGCTCATATGGGGTTACTTTTTCTATTGTTCAAGAATACAAACTTGTTTTTTCAATCTTCCTCTGCTTACATTTTCTATCAAATATGTCTTTTTTATTGGTGGATTTTGTAAGATTCCAACTTTCCATTCTGTAACAGATCATGCTGTCCCATGTATTCATAAATATGCGTGTTTGAGGTAATCACCATGCATTTCATCAAAATCACACAATGCATTACCACCTTTAATGTGTAAAAGCCTCATCAACTCTCCACTCGCTAACACAAGCTTTGATCGTCTAAATAGACACCATCGATTAGGATGTGCTTCACATCAGCCCTCATTCCACGAAGATTCGCCGGTGGTGGTTCCCGGCAACATGTTAATTGCATGTTCCGGGGATGTTTTCAGCTTTTTCCAGGGGAAAGGAAATGAAATATTTTGCTAGCATAGATTAACATTTGGCGTCAGAGCCACGAGAGGTGTCAATTATATTGACAATCCAAACAATAGCCCCAAAACTAAAGGGATTTGGACGTGTGCGTACACGCCCTCCCGGTATTGTGGCACACGTGTTGTTTGTGTTCACTGACGTACGCAAACGTAATTGTTCAGATTCGATGGGTAATGTATTCATTATTTTTATCTTCCTGTATCAAAAACGCGGTACAAATTACATTGCTTAACCTACTGACTACTGAGTTCTCATAATTGATTTCCTTAATCTTCCTCTGATCACTACTCTGCTATCTTACATTTTTTATCAAATCCTGTCATTTTTAAAATTAAATTTGAATAAGGCTGTATATGATCATCAAATTGGCAATGCTGTGACATCACAATTGCCCACTTTTCTCACTTTTATAATGGAGTGATCAAAATCACAGGGTTGGTGATTTTTTTGTTGTTGTCCATAATACCAAATCCTGTTTTTAACCCCCATCTTTTCTTAATCATGAGGAGCTCAGGAACCACATGTTTCTGCAGTCTCTCTCTCTCTCTCTCTCTCTCTCACACCCCCCCCCCCCTTTTCCTCCTCTCTCTCTCTCTCTTTCTCTCTCTCTCTCACACACACACCCCCTTTCTCCTTCTCTCTTTCCCTGTCTCTCTCTCTTTCTTTCTCTCTCTCTGTTTCTTTCTCTCTCTCTCTCTTTCTTTCTCTCTCTCTCTCTCTCTCTCTCTCTTTACCCCTTGCTCTATCTCTCTCCATGTTTCTCTTTCAATTTCTCACTCTCTCTCTCTCTCTCTCTACCCTCTCCCTCCCTCATTCTCTTCCTCTCTCCCTTTCTCTCCCTCCCTCCACCCCCTCTCTCAATCTACAATATCTTATCCTGGATTATCCATGGATGCCCTGCACATCATCAAAGAGTCTGGACAGGGAGTCTAAACCCACCCACCCGGTAATCGGCATATCAGACCATTGCAAGAAGATGTATAAACAGGTAAACAGAAATCCTGACGATTAATCAAAAAGTATCAACAATCCCGGTGCCGCCGTAAGTCTGAAAAATAAACCATCCTTCAAACGAGTTCACAAGCACCGTCTTATCTTACAGATTGATAAATCTCTTTCTGCTCTGAAGGGGAAGAGTGGTCAAATGGTTTACAAGGGGAAGGCTGATATCACAAACGCAAGAAAACAATCAAGTGCTTGAGCACTGCCATGGACACGGTATTTCTGCATGAGACAAATGAAACAAACACTGATACTTTTTTTTTCATTCAGAGTTTTCATTGACTTCTTTTTGGTATTAATGCATTACGATCAACTTTTCCCCTTTCTTCACCTTGTTTCTCATTGAATACTACAATTGTCTTGTTTTTTATCTTCTTAAACATTTGATTGAAATGTCATAGTTGTGTAATGTTTTTATTGCCCATTGACTTTTTTTAACACATTGTTCTAATTGATGTTGGAATTTGGAAATAAATTATTTGAATTGAATGGTGATACACAAAAGGCTTAAGGTTTCCTACATGAATAGAATTTGTTTAAACCTCCATAAATGGCAAACGCCATACAAAGGCTTTTTGTCTACAGTGGTCACTATATTACTGGCTACAATCATGACTGTGGTGTCAGATATATATGGGCAGTCATTGCGGAGCTTGCAAAAAGACTTTTTCTTGTTTTCATTGTGTTCCTTTCACAGCAATAGTTTGTAAAAATCAGTGGCATGGAAGGGGTTAAACATATCTTCCTATTGTGGTCATGTACTGTTCCAATAACCTAATTGGAATGGTTTGACTTTATAAATAACAATGATCAGATTCACAATTCATAAGGTTGGGCAAGCCGTTACAATCAATAGCAATACTGGGGCAGTTATTGACATGAGTGGAGAAAGATAAACTGTTTTGGACACCCAGCACAAGGGGAATAGTGCAGGGTGGTGGGGGGGGGGGGCATATGGTGCATTCCCTATTGAACAGTAAAATAAAGAGAGATACATTAAGGGGAAAAAAGAGGAGGGGAATACGAGAAGGAAAACTTCCTACACAAGGAAAAGAGGGAAAACCCCTCATACATCCTTCCTTTCTCTCTCTCTCTCTCTCTGTGGGTGTGTCTCTCTCTCTGTCTTTCTCTCTGTCTCTCTCTCTGTCTGTCTCTCTCCGTCTCTCTCTCTCTCTCTCTGTCTCCCTCTCTCTCTCTCTCTCTCTCTCTCTCTCTCTCTCCTCTCCCTCTCTCTCTCTCTCTCTATCTCTCTCTTTGGTCATTTGTACCTATATTTTTGTACATCACATTCTTGTACTCAAACATTGTTACAGGTCAGCATCGAGTCTAGACCCAACCTACTTCAGAATCGAGTATGAACAGGGCTCTTTGAAAAAAAAGTGAACCCACTCAGTGCAGTCCACCTACAACATGTCAAGAATGATGCATAGAGAACAAGTCTCGACAGAGTCTAGATTGATTTTGGCAAATTACCCATGGGTATCGAGTCGACTACTGCAGGAAAGTGGTGGAGAGATGCGGAACAAGTCTGGATAAAAAGGATTCCCAGAGCATTGACATTGTTTATGACATACCACATGATTAATTTTCAGGGAAAATCACCTTGTGGGGAAACCATATGGCACTGATGATATAAATTGATATATGGATTATTTAAGAGGCCACTGACACTGTAACATTTAAGTATCTCGCAAGACCAAGCAGAGCGCAAGACAGCTGAAATTGCCCGACATTCACACTTGGAAAGCATGCATTTTTTATTGCAAAAAAAACAGGTTATGTTTGACTTCTTTCTACATCACCCTTACATCACTGATGTAATAGATCGTAAGGGTTTTAATGTAATGGAGACTGCGGTCACTGAGCTTGGAATGAAAGTTGTGAACTACTGAAGAAACAGGTCATGAGGAAAGTGATACCATCTCAAATGAAGAAAAATTGAATATCACGCCAGGTGCAAGATTTGTTAAATAATGCACGTAGTACATGCACTTGCCTGTTTTTGTGGTTACTGGTAAGTGGTATGTATATGGCAAGTTGGTTTCTAAGAAACTGATTTTCAGCACTTGTATTTATAAAACAATGTCTAGTTCACCCAACCTCATGCAGATGCTTATACTGTAGTTTTCTTAGGCATCTTAAATTTACACCTCCATTGCAGAAATAGTTTTGAGCTTGTTACTATCAATTTAGGAGTTCAAATTGTAGTTGAGTTATGAAATGTAAGTTAAAATCAATTTTGATTTGTAAGGTACATACAATTAAGGGAAGTATTGTATATTACAATCAAGTCATGGGTTGTATTTTTTACACTTAAGATACCATTGAATAATATACACTGTATAGTGAATTGCATGAATTTTGCATTACAATACAGTTAGAAGCGGCAAGTTGCACTCAAGTTATGATTCAAAACGTAGAACCAAGTTGAGAGTTGTAGGAAATAACCAAAAAGGACTTGTGAGGTACAATCCAACAACACAAAAATTGGCCAATCAGGAGAAATCCCTCCAGCTGTAACCTTTAAAAAGCTAGATAACCACATCTGCATCATCTTTTTTACCATCAAAATGGAAATTTCCACCACAACTACCAATGTAACCCTCCTCCTATCATTAACATCCTCATTGCCATCATCATCATCATTATCATCCCAGTCATCTTCCTCATCACTATTGTCATCATCACCACCACCACCACCATTACCACCATCGTCACCACCACCACTACTAACACTACCACCACTATTAACACCACCACCACCACCATCATCGTCCCCACCACTACTACTAACACTACCATCACTATTAACACCATCACCACTATCATCATCACCACCAGCACTATCACCACCATCATCACCACCATCACAACCATCACCATCATCACCACCACCATCACCACCACCATCATCACCACCACCACCACCACCACCACCGCCACTATCATCCTCATCACCACCATCCTACCTTTCCAAGGCTGGTGTACTTCACTGCCATTGCCTGTTGGGTCAAGACCCTCTGCCACGACCTCTTCAGCTTGACCGAAGGAGCTCGGAACACCATGGCACCCTTATGGCAGGCTGCATCATGACCACCAGAGGACAGCACGGGTGTGATGTGAAACTCACGAGCTGTTAATGGTAGGAGAAGAGAACAATTGATAAATAGGAATTCAGGTTCGTTTGCCAGCAATACATCCAACCAGATGGATTGTAAATCCAATATGCAGGGCCCCGTCTTACAAAGAGTTGATATCAATCACAACATGAGAGATAGGAGACTGCAAACTTGCGATTGATTGGAGGACTTGCGATTGATCTGGATCAACTCTTTGTAAGACAGGGCCCAGGGATCCACTCTTAATTTTCAATTGGCAGTCAAGACTCAGAATTTTTGAGAATCAGGAGCGATGGGCCCATTGTGATATCTTGAAAATGTGGAAATCTAGAGTGAAGTTTGGAGGGCCTCTGTACACCCTATCCCTGTTAGTGTCGAGTCCTGCTGTATAGCATCGGGAATTTTCAATCTAAAGTCCTATCCAATGGGTTAACATATTTTATTACTCAAAAAGACAGTTTCCTAAACTCAAGGACTGGTTATACATGTATATGACGATAACAATGACAATAAATCTGTTATTTATGTATGGTGCTCATTGTATTAAGAGATTAGGGTCCTCAGTACCCATCTTCCACATTTTACATATTTTCTACACGTACATAGACCGAAGTGTCGTTATCATTATCGTTAAAGCTCATGTCATGTGTGACTAGCCCTTAATCCTGAGGCAGGCTTGTTATTACTCTGTACGATAGGAAAATTTCATATAAATTTTCATAACGCACTTGATTATTAATATTCTTGGAAGTGGAATATTAATAATTAGTCACATGGATTCCGTTTGTAATGATTGAAAATGTGACCCGAATATATTATTCAAAGCGTCTACACGTCATAGAGGAAAAATGAAGGAGTTTTCATCACCAAACAAGGCAGATGTTCCTTCTTTTGACAAGTGCAATGCACTTAACTTGAAAAAAAAAACATGGGTGATTTACTCCGCAGAATTACCAGGGTTGAAGGAAATATCAAGTTCTAATGACCTTACCAAGATTAAAGGTGATATTGATTTCTAATAATAAAACTATATTTTGAGGAAAACAAAACATGACTTTCCCTGCATTCAGATTAAGTAATTCATTTTTCTTTAATCTCTTCTTTTCATGAAGGATGCTGACCGTTTTACAAAAACTTTCAACAAGATACAGATACTTGATCAATCTTTCAATGATGGGATGTATTGAGGGGAATAAGAAAAAAGGGAAGATCAAAGCAAAGTGCAATAACCTGAAAACTTTGAAATTTTGAAAAGTTTCATGTACTGAGCATTCATTCTGTCAACTGGAATCAGACAATGTAAAAATCATTTGAAAAAGGCAAGGATGTTACTGTATTTGACTTTTTTTTTTTGTTGCTAAAAGGAGGATTTATCAATCTGGCAGTCAATGGAAAATTGGCAGGAAGAAGAAAATATCAAATTTGAATTTAACGATTGATCTGTCATACAACAGCCATTCTTTGTCCATAGGTTGAACAATAAACAGCAGAATTATACATGACAAAGAAGTGTAAAGAAGTGTATAATGATAAATATACTTTGTGTGATTGCTAAAACAGAAGAAAATACAAAAGGGGGAAGAAGCAGAATGCTACAGTTTGAGATAAAAAAAAAATGAGGTGAATTTAATTGAAAAAGGACAAGAACAGAGCACTGCAGCATGACATGATTGCCCAAGTTGATTAATACAGTATAGCACCTGCAAAGAGTGATAGAGCCCTCTCTTGGTGAGATCTATTTAGTATTAAAGTCTGAAGCTATAGTTACAGAATGAAGACAGACTCAATAGAGTGATCTTTTAGTGGTCATCACTAACTTTTCGGTCAAACCATGAAAATTGGTCTGAAAAGGAAAGCCTCCTGTTAGTGCGAGGGATAACCATGAGGCCAAAGAAATTGGTTTCAAGCAATTTGTTCTCACATTCCTAATTTTTAAATTGAGAAGCCTTTTTCAAGATCCAAATTGCCAAGTTGGAGATATTCACATGTAGAAGAAACTTTGCTGCACTCTCATTTAATTTGAATATTATTAATATTATATACGAGGGATGGACTCTTGCATAAGGAATATACCAGTACTCCTTTTTAGCTCATCCCTTCACTCTCATTGTGTTATGTTTTTTGTTTGGATGTATGATATTTATGTATGTTTATTCTGTATTTGTAAATGTGACTATTGTATGCTGTATTTCTAATGATAAGTGTAAACAAACTAACTTGAACTTGAACTAGAGTGACAAATGTAGATTAGTGTCTTGCTAAAGGACATAAGTACCAAGGTACATAAGCTAGGACTGAAAGCAATATTCTCTTTATCGTTCTTCTACAGTGAAAGCCAAATAATAATATTTACTATCCCAATTATTTATTTATGGCTAAAAATCTCATTTAAAATCCTTTTGATACCCACCATTTTCACAATTAAAGTTGAGCAGACTGATGTTCAGGATAAGGAGATGAGGGAAGATCACGCGTAGGCGGCCATCTTGATGCTGGGAGCGAGCAATCACGATAGCATCATTGAAGAGAAGGACCAGGACCTGACAGTAAAAAGGAATAAGTCTGTGTTATAAAAGATAAAGCTTAACTATTGCCATGGGCCAGAGGACTACATACCAGCAGCAAATGGCATATATTAAGTATGTTCTGAGTAGAAAAAAAGAGTCCCCCCGCCCCTTTTACAAACAAAAATTTGACCTCCCCCTCCATAAAAAAAAAGTAATGGTATGAGAATATGAGTAAAAAAGAATCCCCTTGTCACAGGTTGTCCTGACTTGCACCCCTCCCCCCCCCCCCTACCTACCCTCACCCTCTTAACCCAACTAGCTTACCACCAAAGTTTCTAAGCGCTAGAAGTGAATGTTAATCCTGCTGAATGCATTCTTGACAGGGTAAAAACATACTGGTTTTTTATCACGACCAAAAAGCATTTAGAAATTCCCGTGAATTTCATCTGACTTGTTTTGCAGATTTTAAACCTTCATTAATACCAGCATGATGCACTTGTGAACTTTCATTTCTATGAGTAGTCTAAGATGTGAGAGTTAGAGTATGGATGACTTACCTCTCTGAATTTTTTGCGTCTGTTGAAATAGAATAGTCTCCCTGCATGGACTAGGTCTCGATCAGGTGGACCAAGTGGAAAGGGCTATATGGAAAAGACAAATGAGAACATAACAACTAGTTGTGAGAAAATGAGAAAATGTTATATGACCGATACCAGGATGGTCTAATGTTAATAAATAAAGAGGATTATTCTGATTTTATCTCTTTTTCACTCCAGTTGATTAATTAGGAACTTTTTCAGTGATAATTAAATTTATTAATTCTATTGCAAGTTCTTCCAAAGTCAAATTACAGAATTGCAGCCTGATTGTACTGTGTACAGTGGGCTGGACAAAGAAGGATATGAAAAAGAGCTTAAGTTTGTATAAAAAGTGTATGGAAATATGAACGACAAACTAATGTAAGGTCCCAATAAAGAACAGTAAAAATGAAATGAAACACTACCTCTATTCCTTTGGTAAAAAGCACCTCCTCCATCCTTCCAAACTGGGCAAAGGAGCATCTCATCCTGGTGCTTCCATCCTCTTCATCCTCATCGCCACGGTAATCATCAGGGATGCTACGAGTACTCATTCCATTAGAATTCTCCCCAGGACGACCTCCCATCCTTTCATTGACATAATGTCTCGGGGGCACAGGAGGTTTCGCCTTGGCCTTGTCGCGGCGGAGTGAGCGTGACATCGCAGCAAAGGACTGGCTCTTCCCTTTCTTCATGATGTGCTGATTAGCGTAGAGGTCGTCAGATGCAGCACGAGGCTCACGGAAGGTGTTGCCATCAAGGACATCTTCAGACTTGCTCCTGAATGTCTCTCGTTTGAATGGTGCCACTTTGGCCAGTTGCCGCTCTGCGATACGTGGCTTTGGCTTAACAGGACTCTGCCCACCCAGTTCCCCATTGGAAATAGTAGATGATGCAAGCTGCCCATCGTAAGAGCTTGACTTGAACAGCTGGGGTGAACTGTTTTTACGTACTGTTTTTGGAGGAGATCTTGCAAGTTGCCTTTCAGACCATGAGGCCTTCAAGTCCTTCCTTGTAACAGTCTCATCAAGTTCCCCAATGGACATAGTAGATGATTCAAGCTGCCCATCGTAAGAGCTTGACTTGAACAGCTGGGGTAAACTGCTTTTACGAACTGTTTTTGGAGGAGATCTTGCAAGTTGCCTTTCAGACCATGGGGCCTTCAAGTCCTTCCTTGTAACAGTCTCATCTAGTTCCCCAATGGACATAGTCGATGATTCAAGCTGCCCATGGTAAGAGCTTGACTTGAACAGCTGGGGTAAACTGCTTTTACGAACTGTTTTTGGAGGAGATCTTGCAAGTTGCCTTTCAGACCATGTGGCCTTCAAGTCCTTCCTTGTAACAGTCTCATCAAGTTCCCCAATGGACATAGTAGATGATTGAAGCTGCCCTTCGTAAGAGCTTGACTTGAACAGCTGGGGTAAACTGCTTTTACGAACTGTTTTTGGAGGAGATCTTGCAAGTTGCCTTTCAGACCATGTGGCCTTCAAGTCCTTCCTTGTAACAGTCTCATCAAGTTCCCCAATGGACATAGTAGATGATTGAAGCTGCCCTTCATAAGAGCTTGACTTGAACAGCTGGGGTAAACTGCTTTTACGAACTGTTTTTGGAGGAGATCTTGCAAGTTGCTTTTCAGACCATGAGGCCTTCAAGTCCTTCCTTGTAACAGTCTCATCAAGTTCCCCGATGGTCATAGTCGATGAGCTAAAGTGATTGTCATGCGAGCTTGCTTTCATCAGCTGGGGCAAACTAGTTTTGCGAGGTGCAACTACGGGAGGTTTAGCCAGGTTTCTATCGGACTGTGATGATTTCAGTGGGCTGTCCAGCTCCCCAATTGCCACGGAAGATGCTGAAAGGTGCTTCTCATAGGAACCGGATATCCGTAGTTGGGGTAGACTCCCTTTACGCTTTGCAACGGCTGGTGGTTTGGACAGCTGCCTTTCTGACACAGAAGATTTCATGGAACTGTTCATGCTTCCATCAAGTTCATTCAGGGACATACTGGACTTGGCCAGTGTGCGTTCACTCTGGGGCATCTTTCCACCATCTTGTACATTGTCAGTCAGTGTAGCCTCACCATCAGGACTCCATCTCTTGGGCAGCTTAGGCTGAACAATGATCTGTTGAGTGAAATCATCAGACAGTTTCCTGATAGGTGATCTTGGAGGAACGGGAGGACAGGTTGAACAGTAGCAGTTGGCTTTTTCATAGATGGTGCTTTCTTCCTTGGGGCTCTTCCTTGGCAGCATGATCCAAGCATTCTCATAGACAGTGGTTGACTTTTTAGAGGAATCATCAGACTCTTTACTTGCTTCAGAATTGCTTCTGGATGGAATGCTCGTCACATCCTGCAGAGAGTTCCTTGCAGATCCTCTAGGACTATCCTGGGGAGGGTTCTTCAAGGCATCCCTGGTTGCTTCCTGGAATGAATTTCTCAATGAGGATATCCTCAGGGATTCTCGAGGTGAGTCTCGTTGCACACTTGGTATGACGATGCCAGCTCCCTCAGGAATAGAATCCCTGATAGAGATCCTTGCGGAATCTCTCAGCGACTCACTGAAGGAATCTCGCATCGAGCTGACCATAGATTCTCTAGAGGACGAGGATGACGAAGCACTCTCTGGTTGCATGAAGACATCATCATCTCTGCTCTCTGTGGTAACGGCCTCTGTACTGCTTGACCACCTGCCCTCAGGTCCATTCCTCTCTCCTAGAGATCCCTCCTCCTTCTTTTCATCCGCAAGAAACACAGCCTCCATCAAGAGCTGATCCTCCTCGCTCAGCACCACCATCCGGTCTCGTCTCCTAGCGACCGTCGCGATGAGTTCCCGCTTCAATCGCTTCTGGACAAGACCAATGGACGGTGCAGTCATGGAGGATCCAGCCGGCACTGAAAGCACAACCCCTCTCTTCTCCATCATGGCCTGCGCTTTGGCTGCAGATGCCTTGACACTCTTGACTCTCCTGTTTCGCAGGTTGCGTTTGATATCCTCCTCCTTCTCCCCATCTCGGAGCTTGCGTCTCGGCTTTGAAGGGCGCGGTGGGATGCATGGTCTGGTGGACGGGTCTGAATGACGCTGCACTAAGGCTTCAATCTCGTTATTTGTTTGCCTGCAGTTACATAAAGTGAAAGTATATAGATGAAGAATAATGACAGTAGTTTGAACATATTTGTGGCTTACACCCAGTAAATAAGATCGATTGATCGATCTGTAATTGAAAAACAAGTCAGAAAAAATCTTGGAACCAGCGGGATTTGAACCTGCCATCTACTGCTTGCCGGGCAGCGACTCTACCACCAGGCCATCACTGGTCCATGGCACAGTCACGATGAACTAGAAACAAATACCCAAGCTCTCCTGATTCATTCTGACTTATTAATATTCATTAGTCCGCCATAGGACAATAACTTTTATAAATGTAATGCTTCCTGGGAGAAATTTGGTAGAGTCGCTGCCCGGCAAGCAGTAGATGGCAGGTTCAAATCCCGCTGGTTCCAAGATTTTTTCTGACTTGTTTTTCAATTACAGATCGATCAATCGATCTTATTTACTGGGTGTAAGCCACAAATATGTTCAAACTATTGAAATTTCTCCCAGGAAGCATTACATTTATAAAAATAATGACAGTGTTGCACAATATCCAGCAGCTGGATTATTAAGATGAGTAAAAAATAAATAAAAAAGGCCAAAGAAATAATGATGGCTTAGAAAATATGTAAGCTTACACATGTACATCAATTATATACCAAACATACATTGCTGCTCAAACCCATTAGGAATGAGTATGCAAGGAAATGACATTCTCTCTCACATCATACATTGCTCTCGATTCTAGCACAGTTAAGTATGTTTATTGTTGTGTATGGTTTTATCTTTAAAAATGGTTTTGTTTCCAATATGTCACTAAAAACTGTATTATTTTCCATTGAATTGCTTCCTGTGGTCAGTTGATTAATAAGCCCCAACAAAACTCAGGCAGGACTCTGTAAAAAAAAATGCTTATACCCAAATCACATTGTATCCAACAGGTTATAACAGGGGTGATAGTGAGCACTAAAAAAAATTCCAAGGAGTAAAAAAAAAAAAAAGGATTTGGGGAAGAAAAAAATGGAATCTTAAAAAATTTCCCCCTTTTGAAAGAGAAAATTGGGAAAAGATAGGGAAAAATCAGGAAAATAGGGGGAAAATAGGGAGGGAAAAAAAATGGGTTAAACAACAACAACAAAAATGGGAAGAAATACAAATTTGGGAAAAAATCAGGGTAATTATCAGGCCTGGGGGGTGTTTCACAAAGATCTTAAGTTGAACTTATCTCTAAGTTGGACCTAAATATTATGGAGAGCCATTCGTAGCCTTAAAAAAATATATATTTAAAAGCGAAAATTCAAGTATTTTGGACTTTTTATAAATTCCACATCAAGAACATGAACTCTCTTTGATAATAGAAAATATGATTGATTTGAATCAACATTTAATGCCTTTTAAAATAACTTTTACAAAATGTTTTCATAGATGCTAATGGCTTTCCATAAATGTTAAGTCTAACTTGGAGATAAGTTCAACTTAGGATCTTTGTGTCACACCCCCCTGGTCATTAAAAACATAATTAATGCATTGTAGGACTAAGTTCGAACTTTGACTTACTTGAGAACATTTTTGATCCCCCTGCTGTTGATACCAGCCACATTGTAACCTCCAATCTCAAGAAAGTAGTCTCCCTTCAGCAGGCCTGAAGTCTCTGCTTGGCTCCCTGCATCAAAGATAAACATTGGTTTATTACACAGATTACAATAAGCTTGAAGTAAAGAGACTGTACATCAAGACTAGGCCTTGCTAGGATGAGCCCTTTATATGCATGTATCTCAAATTTACTTAAAATTTTCTAAATTATGACTATGAAGAAAATCTTCTCTTAGGCTCAGGGGACTGGTCTACTAACATATTCAAATTTTAAGCATACTATTGAAACAAAGGTTGTTCTTGACATCTTGAAAGCTTGTCTGAGGCTTGCCCAACATAGCAACAAACAGTTGATGAAGACAGGATACCAAGAATTGTAGTTCATTCATAAATGATAAATTAATGCGATAACTCGGTCACTAGGTCCCCAGGAGAGAAGCATCCATAAATTTCAATATCTTTAGTAAACTGGTCTACTCAAACCACATTTCTCCCTATGATACCTCCAATTACACGTTTGGTACTGATGTTATAAAAGTGAAATAAACTGCTTTCAAAGGCCTGTTGATTCTGCTGGGCTCCATGGTCACAAGATGAATTAAAACAAAAAGATTGCGATAAGCTGTCAAAATAGACAGACTCTATTATTTTGAAATCAGAACAGAACCAGGCCCTCCTCTATTGAGAGGCATGCATATTTTCTCAAAGCTATGAAGTATATTTTCGAAAATTAAAAGTCAGAAGAAATTACTTTGGACTAAATATTGACCATGCTACTCTTTCTTACCTTTACTTACATGTTTGGAAATGAAATGTTATAGAAATAATTATCTTCAAGAGCTATACTCTTCAAGACAAAATTTGTGCAGTTGATGCAAAGTAGTTATTTTGATATGATAAACTAAATGAAAACTTCTGAAACTTGGGCAAAGATAAATGTACCATTTTTTTCCCCAAAAATGAGTAGAACTGTAAACTCTGATAACAAAGTTAAGATAAATAACTTTAGTATCAAGAAGAAAATTGTATAAAGGCACTATGACTGAAACCAATTCTTTAATACACAAGTGTTTATACATGATGGCACCGCAAGGGTTAATACTATAGTTGCACTAGGGCGTCGTAAAACTGCAGGTCCGTGGTCTATTTTTGAACCTCTTGATATGGAACACAGGAATCTCATAGGAAGAGAGAGGTAGCAGGTACTGAAATTATTTTCATCTATCTTGACACAGACTTCCCTTCTCAACATTTACGACTTGAGGGCACTGGTCACTGTAGCCATCATTATTGGCTTAAAGGGAAATTGCCCCCTAAATTTGAATAAAAGCCCCTATAAATAGCAATCAGAAAAACAACTTCTGCAAATGCATAGGTTTGTCACACAGTAAAACAGCGAAGTATGGGTTGGCTACTGAAATTTAAAAAGTATAAATGTTTTGACCTTCTCCTATATGTCTCTCCACTAGAAAACAATGTACAAGTGTATTTCATTAAACCTTGTAGATCTCATTCAATTATTTTAATTAACGTCCCTTGTTCATTAATTCATATGCAATAATGTGTCATTTTCAATATGAACTATTTATATTCCGCCTTCCTCAACCCCTATTTTCTTTCCAAAATGGCTAAACACAAAGTATTGTTAAGAAGAAGAGATTGCAGTATCCATTAATACCCAATTTACAATTCAATGATGTGCTATGGTTTTCAACTATTATCTCAAATTGCCACCAATTTCCCAGATATGCAACTCGTTGCAGCAGCTAGGGCTGACACCCAGCTGTCCATCACTCAGTAAACCTGGCATCGTTTGGCAGATGTAAAATTTGTAATCTACGACATCCATATCGTCCTGTTTTTCCTCCTCCATTGCTATCAACATCCACTTTCTAGGTTATCTCTTTTATCTTTAAAGAATTTCTTTCACCTTAAAGGTAATACAAAGTTTTGGTATTGGGTCATGAATTTGGTTCAAATGAACATATTGGAAGCATATACGATCCTACAATATTCAGTGATCGTTGTCGCGGTCGAAACCGATTCTAAAGTTATGAAATTGTAAATAATAAACACTTTATATTGAATAGCTCCCTCTCAAGGTCAAGATATTAATTAAGCTATAAAACAATGTATATTGACTAAATTCGACCGATTAGCTATTCTCGTTCGGAAATTATATACCACAGCTACATACTCTGAGATTTTCATGGTCGCAGCTACCATTGTACGGCCGTAGGAGCTATTTGAAATTTATCCAAATTTACCGGGAGCACCAGTAAATCTTTATATTCAATTTTTCTCGAAAGCAGAAATGTTTTAGAGGCTAAAATTTCTGACGTTTTTAATGCATCCACAGGGGCATCCTAATATATCAAAATTGTAAAGAATCACTATCCACCCATTTTTCAAAATTTCCCAAAACTTTGTAATACCTTTAAGCTGTTTAAATGTCTACCTCTCTCTTTCTCTATCTATCTCTATCTCTCTCTCCTTCTCCCTCTTCTTCTCCACCATCCACTATGAGCATCTTACATGTATCTCCCCTCCCTTCCATTCCCTCTCCTCCTCTTCCTGCTCCTACTTCTTCTAAGTTCTAACCTTCTCTTACAATACTCTCTCTCTCTCTCTCTCTCTCTCTCTCTCTCTCTCTCTCTCTCTCTCTCTCTCTCTCTCTCTCCTCATCTATATTTGTTATCATCTTTCCTAGGGAATAAATAAGAATGTTTATTGGTCTGTATATCTCTCTCACCACATATCTGTGCAATGTAAATAGACTTCTCCCACTGTTTATCTTACTTTCCGTATCCATTCCCATTTTATCTCTCTCCTAGACCATGCATCCACTAACCTTTATGTTTACCTTCTCTCTCCTTCCTCTCCCTCTATCTCTCTTGCTCCCCCTCCATCCTCCCCCTTTCTTCTCTCTCTCTCTCCTACCAGACTATTCACCAACTTGTATCTCTAACCCCTCCCCTCCATTCTTCTTTTTCTTCTCTCTCTCCACTCCTTCCTCTATCCTTCATATTTTTACCCTCTTTCTCTCTGCCCTTATCCTCACTCACTCCCCCTCCCTTTTCTCTCTCTGTAAATATATATCTTCAGATTCCCCTCTCTTGCTTTCTCTTACCCTCTTTCTGTCTATATCTCCTTCATTCTCTCTATTTCCCCCCCCCCCCCTCCCAACACCCACCCTCTTTCTCTCTCTTTTCTTCCTATCTCTCATTCTTTCTCTCTCTATTTCACTCTCGATCCTCCCTCTCCCTCCCTCCCTCCCTCCCTCCCTCCCTCCCTCTCTCTCTCTCTTTCACTCTCGATCCCTCTCTCTCTCTCTCTCCCTCCCCCCCTCTCTCTCTCTCTCTCCCTCCCCCTCTCTCTCTCTCTCTCTCTCTCTCTCTCTCTCTCTATCACTCTCGCTCCCTCTCCTTACACACCTGTTGATAAGTAGCATGACTAGACCTGACACCTATCTATCTCTTAATCCTAAGCCTCTCACGATCCGACCCGTCAAACGAATAACCTCACTCGCACCAAAATACCCTATTGGTTTACAATTACATGTTGTGCCAGGAATCAAATGACAGATTCTCTGACAAATTCACCCATGCAAATCCCGACATTTCATAAATTGTCAAGAATGTCAGAAGATGACTCATATATGTCAAACATATGTCAGATACGAATGTGTGCTGTTCATCAGGATACACAACGAAGAATGGTATTCTCTTGTCACCTCTGTTCCGGCATACACTGTACGGCCCACATTCTCGTAGATGACTAGGGTATTATGTTAACTCTCACACTGTAATCAATGAACTCAAACTGATGAAGTAAGCAGACCAATATACAGCTACTGTACACAGATGGGGTCTCATCCATAAAATGGTACTAATTGATCCTAATATGACAGCACTTGAAAGCGATATTCTTAGTACTTGAAAGAAATACTCCACAAAATACCTAAAGCGATTATAAGAATATATAATCAGCAAGTAAAGAGATTAGTAGACAGGGATGCCAGTTAGAATTGATAAGAGGGCCTGAAAATTACCTAGAATGAGCAATTTTGTACACAAAAAAGCCTAAACTATGGTCTGAAAATAACTTACCAGGGCCTGAATTCATGCTATTGCCTGAAAACTGGCATCCCTGAGTAGAGCCCAAAGTTTTGCAGTAGATGAGTTAAAATTTACCACTGAAGACCTATCGGAATGGGTACGAAATGCCAACGATTTCTTTCGCTTTATACTTAATCAATCGCTATATGGGAAAAGGGGTCAGCTATATGAACAAATAAAGAACGCACAGAAACCAGATTTCTAGGTAGTCCCAATTGAGACAAGCTATTCAAACCCCCATTGATAAATTTTATATTAAACATTGCAATGATACAGTCAAACCTGCTTTAGTGACCACCTGTCCACAAAGACCACGTTTTTTGCTTCCCTTGAAAGTGGATTCTCATTGAAACATGTCAGAAAGGAACCGGTCTACAAAGACCACCTATCTACAAAGACCACCAGTCTTCAAAGACCATTTTTTTTTTTTCCTTGGGCGGTCGCTATAAACAGATTTGAATGTACTAGTAAAACAAATGTAAAAGTTACCCTTTTCAACACTCCCGACCTGGACCGGAAGCGTATCCAGAAGCGTGAAGCCATACTTCCCATTCTTATCCTTGCTCAGCACAACCTAAACAAAACAAAAATAGTTCAAACATTATATTGGTACAGAAGAATACTAAAAATGGGTATTGTCTAGTGTCTCAAAATAGACAAAAACTTGCTTGAAGTGATTCTTCATTGTATATTATGAAATAATGGGTTGTTTACTGAAGAAAAGTATGTGCAACCTGAAGAAAATTTCATAAAAGTCACATTCATTGCAAAGCCCAACTCATATCAGCGATTATGATAGGCATTCTGATGTGCATATGGTCAAGATGATTAGCTTGATTTCCATACCTTCTTTACTCCTTACTCGAGTTGTTCATTTTCTACCAAAAATATCTCACAGGCATCACTTATTTGCCGTCTTAAACATTCAGAGCAATTTTTGTTTGATTCACAGAAGATTTATAAAAGTAAATTAAGGCTTAAAGCCCCTCTGGTACACAAGAGACAATATGTCAACATGGGAACAAGCTCTTACATAGTGAAGACTTATCCAAGAAAGAAGTGAGTCTGGTCGATCCATGCAGCCTGCTTCTGAGTCACTGGAGCTCTGTCCTTTCGCTGTTGGTCCTCCCTCGGATCCAAACCTTTTCTCTCCGCCACCCCAGGTCCCTGTACCTCGACGGTTGTCCAATCCTCCCTCTTGCAACCGTTCACTCCCAGGTCTCAACCTTTTTGAATCAGCACCCTGAGTCGGCGCCTCTCTGGCAAAGTCCAGGACCTGGTACCCATCGACGAGACTCTCAACGATCTCTCGATCCCCGTGGATCCTGACTAGCTCTTTGTGTCGCAGCTGATCAAGGTTTTCGTGCCCTTCGCTTCTCTTCCGCTTCTCTTCCTGCAGTCCGTCCGACCTTAGCCACCCTCTCTGTTTCTCCTTTTTTCCACCTTTTGCCCCTCCTCCTTCGATCAATCCTGCTTTCCCCTCTTCTAGGGGGTCATCTTCTCTCTTCCTCTTTCGGGTGTTGACCTTTGATCTGGCCCAACTGTTTGTTTGGTGCTCCTCTTTCTCACTCGTCGTCGAGTTAACTTTCAGATGCTTAGTTCTTCCTACGTCCTCTCTCAGAAGATGGTACCATCCACTGATGACCTGAAATCACAATTCAAAAAAATTATGAAATTAACCTTTAAATGTCTTAAAGCTTATCTGTACTAGTTCATAGGAGGGATTAGACCACCCTGCAAGGTCACTGAACAGGTGGTTATCTCATCAACTCAGCTCTCAATTAACATATGAAAAAGAGGATCATGGGGGACCAATGGTCACCGATTAGGCATTGTTTTCTCTATATAGAGGAAGCAAGTAGCTACAAGTAGGACAGTGTGGCTTTAAGCGATTTTAAATTGCCTTTGTTTTTACAAGGTCTACCATATTTGGAAAAAGGGAAGCTTGTCTTCCTTCTTGAAAATAAAAACAGGCTCATGTATTGTTGGTTGGTTGGTATCTGACAGCTTTCTGTCCTCTCTGATGGACTCCATAATGAGGAGTAATACCTCACCAAAGGGCACCAGCACATTGATTTGGTTTTGAACCCAGGACCTCCAGGTATGGAGACCACTGCACTTACCACTGAGCCATTGTGCTTTCTTCTTGTGAAGTTAGATATCATGGAATAATGTTTGTATCAAGATGAATAATTAAAAAGGTCCAAATGATTGGAAATTTAAGGTACATAGTGAAAACTTGGTGGCAGTGTAGGGGTTAAAGAAAGTCGTTGGTCTCTACCTTCTGTATACAAAATTTCAAAATTTCATCACTTGTTGTTGGTCATTAGAATGAATACCGTACAATTTCAATGCATGAAACTTTCTCAAATTCTAAAACAAGTCATCTTAATGGTTAATAGGAAACTATCACAAATTTAATTGAAAATTTGAAAATTATTGTTCAAGTAGTCTTCAATCCACGATCTACAGGAACTGGGCATTTCCTGCATTAAAGCCTAGAGGAGTGACAGGATTCAGTAGTCCATAGGTTAAGTTATGGAGAGTTGGTTCATCAAACAGGTGGTCTCAATGGCAGATCTGATGGTATAATTATTTCTTTGAATTCTTTATTTTGTTGGTGCTTGTTCTATCTTTTGTTTTCCTAAAAATTTGTGGGGAGTTAAAAAAGTGATTCACATACCGGTACTCATAATGTTTGTTAGACTTTTCAGCAAAGACAAATGTCAATTTTTTACCCAACTTATACAAAAGTGATGAATAACAACTTAACTCATCTCTTCTAATGCACAACCATTAACGTTAACGGGTCAGGGACACAAATGCGTACCCATTTTTAAAAATCAAATGAATAACAAGTCAACTCGTCCCTTTGACTTCACAATCATGCGTTCAATAGGTCAGGGATATGGAGAGCACTGTGTTTTTAGTTTACGGCACACCCCGGCTACGCTATATATATGGACGATCTGTCCCCAGTCAGGAAGTTTAGGTCTGGATAGCTGGACATTCCCAGGGGCCAGCTACGCAGTGGGCACGGCGATAAGAATCGCCTAGCCAACGGGAGGGTTGGACCAACATAACACCAGGTGATAGTGGATTGTTTCCCCCTCCCTTCCCGTAGGGGGAAACGCCCAATTAGATGGATGGACGGGGAAGAGGAAACAGGGAGGAGGGAATGTTCGGTGTTATGTTTTTTTTTCAGGGTGATTTGGATAAGTATGAATGATAGATTAATGACCCCTAGTAGACAGAGGGAAACCTGTAGATATGAAACCGCAAGGAGATAGGAATCAACATGTATGAACGATAGGAAGTTTCCTACCAGGAATGTAGCTATTTTTAAAGATTTATCTGTGCTCCATGGTTCAAGTTAAGTACATAGCCTTGCAAGGGTTTTAGAAGTAGGTGAATTTACATTATTATTTTTTTACTTTGCGCGCTTGTACTGGCATATAGACAATAAATAAATGAAATGAATTGAATAGGCCTGAGATAGTTCTACTAGAAAACATCACTGTAGGTGAATAATATATTTTCAGGTGTCGGTGCGGTGTTACGAATCCTACTCTTAGTCACTTTTGTAATCTTGACGTTCAAATCCGTCGTAAATTACATTGCACAAAGGAAAAACAAATTAGTCATCCACGCTGCCAAGTGGGCAAGCATTTATAATATTATTAAGGGTCAGTAGGAATGAGAGGATGCGCTTTATATTTTTTCTTTCATTTGGCAAGGTGCCCGCTATTTGTATTATTTTTCTTTTCTGATAAACATTGTCATATCCGGTTGTCTCTTGTAAGCTTTTGTAACCTCTTAATACCAACAATGGACAACAAGTCCTTTAATTGTTGTTGTTTTTATGTATGTTAGACATGTGTGTACATTTCTTGTCACTTATATTTCATCATACGATCCATCATAATTTATAATTATACTATGTGATGTTTGATTTGAAATGAAAAGGATCAATAAAACATGAAATACAACAAAACAAAAAATCGCTTTATGTATATGTACATTCAGAGCCAATAAAAACGTCTTCCTCAAAACTAAAAGGCATTTCATCTAAAGTTGCCTCTTTCAACCTGGGTGAAATACCTTGAATTAATTCCTAGAAATGCACTATGCCCCGATTGTAGTTCTAAAGCCAAGATAGGATAAAACATTTCTAAAGCACTTTAGAAATGAATTGCAACATTCATCTGCAAACTAGACCTGGCAAGACTTTCCAAACATGGGTCCTGAGGGGAATAAATCATCATTTAATGTAAAATTAATGCTTTCCTGTGTGGAATCATTTGATGACGCAAAATAAATTGAAATTTTAGCCAACATCATTCACAATCTGGATTAATTCAATCATTTCCTACTTGATAAAAGATTTCTACTCATCAACTATATTTTTAATGTCATGATGATCGTATTCTACATATGTTATCACTATAGACATCCTTATTTAACTCGTTTTTATCTATCTTGGATAAGATCCAATATAAGAAAAAATATCAGAGTCACTTTCACGAACGCAACGTGATGATGATTGGTTGCTTGATATTGTCAAAATATGTGTCTTGGTAAGGAACATGGCAACTGATCTGAATATCAAAATCAAAATTCTTCTTTTCTAAAAGTGGCAATTAACACACATGAATACAGTTCAGTTGTACAGGTTAATATATTACCACAGAGTTTATAAATATTTAGGTTATTGGATCCCTATTATATACAATTGAGACATAATGTTTCATTAAATAGCTTTGCAAGTCATAACGACAAAAAAATTTCCTTTGTGTTTAAATGATAACGAGCTTCTTGCCTCATATCAAGTTAATTAAATTCCTTCTATAATTTAATTTGTCTTCCTCTATGACACTCAAATGTTCCAAAAATAGTTAAAAGATTGTTGAAAGTAGGCCCAGAAGTATGGAATTCACACAACAAGAGTGAATTCATTGGCTGCCCTTAAGATAGTTGTTACGGTTATTGAAAAAACATTGCTCCAATGACCCTCATGCAGGCACCCGATAAGATGCTGAGTTTGTAAATCTATGAAATCAATAATATATACTTTAATGTGGAATAATGTGATATTATAAAAAATATGCACTATCGCATATTAGTGTGGCCAGGAGGCAACAATGGTGTCTTGGATGTGGATCTCACCCCCCCCCCCCCACCCCCCCCCCCCCCCCCCCGAACGTGTATTTTCTAATTATATGACAGAGCACTTGTAACTTGTTTTATTTTCAAGGGTTCTATAAAATACAAGCCATGCTTTTTTAACAGACTCCTCCACTATGTAAATATGTATCTTAAATGATTTATTTGAACAATTGTATAATCACTTTTCATATCTTTGGTTAATATAATGTTATTAAATGTGTATACATTGCATATTCATTTGATTATGTTATATTATGTGTAAAGATAAAGAAAGCTTCAAACTTTGAAGTGCCCCTAAACATAAATGTAAATGCTACCCCCCCCCCCCCCCTCTCAATTATAAAAAATCCTAGTTACCGGTATGCATTATGCTCACACGTCAGAAGTAATCCAAAAGTAGGTCAAAAATTGTATCAACTCGTAATTGATCTTGGGGTATGGCATACATATACTTCATACTTCTGCAGAGGAAGCATGATGTGCGCATTCCACCAACAGTGTAATGTATGAGAAATATCGATTTCCAAAATGTCCCTTACAAGAATACTCATACATAAATCTGTCAAAAGATATTGACAAAAAAGCTTAGTTTTATTGATTTGTCCCCCTGAACTTCAAAAAGCTGTCTCGTATCTCACCAGATTTGCAAGTTTGAGGGCACGGGTGAAGAAAGTAATATGGCAAATCCGATGACATTGATTGTGGTATGCATTCAGCAAAAAGTCTTCTTTTTTTCCTTATTTTTCTTCTCAGGTATGATATACCTTCCTTCCTCCCAATCAAAACAATGTTGTAAGCGCATTTCCTTTCCAGACTAGTTAATTCTTTGTTTTATTATTCTTATATTCTTTACAAAATCTTACATCGTTTAATTTGTTAATCTAATGCAATTGTCTTCAATCATGCATGGCATCAGGGAATAAGATTCCTTTATGAAACATCTTTTGAAAAGTTGGCAAATTTTACATCAACTGTTCTGAAAAATAAGATTGAGTCGGTTCATATTTTGATTTTTTTTTCATCAATGCATGAGAACTAGATTCAAATGAGCAAAATTTAAAGAAAATTAAAGTGCAACCATTAAGAATCGCACCTTCCAAGCAGACAGTCAATACTATAAGTCAGTATCAACAACAACAAAAATCTCAAAAGTAATATTGAGTGAGTTCATATTTTGAAATTTGTACTACTATTCTGAAAATTACTACAATAGCAAATTCAAAAGAGCTCTTGAGTGAATAATCTAGACCTAAATTTCTCTAATAATTACCCTGGTCAACAGATTCATTCATGCACAATGTGCACCGTCTCCACTCCCTGGGGAGTATTCCTACTATATGATCACCATTAGGCCATATGGCAATTACTAACACAAATGCTTTCATCATTCTATCAGGTCCCCATTTTTTCTCCTGGGTTTGGAGAGGCAAATCTAGATCAATGCCTTGCCAAAGGACATTGGTGTTGTGTCGAGGATCG